ATAAGATTTTTTTTTTCTTTTTATGAAGATGTTAACTAACTTTAACGGTCCTGTTTTCCCGCGTATCTTTTTCGTCACGGATCCCACCCAGCATGTTCATAAATGGGCTCCCATCCTCAGGAGAATCGAGTCGTCCCCTCTCGTCTTCTTGCTCCCCTCAACACACACACACACACACACACATCCTATTCTCTCTCCTCTTCCTCCGAGCTCTCTCGACCACCACCCGGGATGGCTGGATGCAGCAAGCTGTTCCAGAAGTGCATGCCCTACTTGGCCATGATCCTTCTGCAGTTCGGCTACGCCGGCATGAACATCATCACCAAGGTCTCCCTCAACCACGGCATGAGTCACTACGTCCTCGTCGTCTACCGCCACTTCTTCGCCACCATCTCCATCGCCCCCTTCGCCCTCGTCCTCGAGAGGTAAACAACCCCCGCCCCGCCCACCACCAACTCCTCAGTGACTCACCTTCTCACCTCACTCCTCTGTCCCCCGACAGGAAGGTGCGCCCCAAGATGTCCTTCTTCGTCTTCATGCAGATCTTCGTGCTCGCTCTCCTCGGGTTCGTCTCTGGCGCCGTGGCATGCACTCTTTTGGTTGCTCAGATGTTGTCTCACTAGCTTTCTTGCCATGTCTGCAGGCCGGTCATCGACCAGAACTTCTACTACGCTGGACTCAAGTTCACCTCCCCGACCTTCTCCTGCGCCATGAGCAACATGCTGCCCGCAATGACCTTCGTGTTGGCGGTCATATGCAGGTCGATTAATTAGATCGAACGAGCTCATGATTTCCACCATTACATTCTCGGATTGCTGCTGATTGTGGAACTGATCGGTAATGATAGGATGGAGAAGGTGCATCTGAAGAAGGTGAGATGCCAAGCCAAGGTGGTCGGAACTCTTGTGACAGTGGCAGGAGCCATGTTGCTGACCCTGTACAAGGGACCCATCATGGACATGGCCTGGACCAAGCACGCACACCCGCCCCACTCTAACGCGCCCACGGCCGCCGCCGGTGATGACTCGACCGACGAGGACTGGCTCAAAGGCTGCATCTGCCTCATCATTGCAACTCTAGCTTGGGCTTCTCTCTTCATCCTTCAGGTAGAACTTGGCTGCATCGAACCCTCAGCTCATGTACTCTACCTTGTGGAAACTGACTTGAGAGCCTGGTCTCATGCTCCACAGGCAGCGACCTTAAAGAAATATGATGCACCCCTCTCCCTCACCACCTTGATATGCTTTGTGGGTACTCTGCAAGCCATTGCTGTGACCTTGATCATGGAGCACAAGCCCTCTGCTTGGAGAATCGGCTTCGACATGAACCTACTTGCCGCTGCTTATGCTGTAAGCCTCTTTCATCTCTCTCTCTTCTCTCGAATCATCTCTTTCTAGCTAGAAAGAAGCTAATGAGATTTCTCCTTGGATTGGAACATGCAGGGGATTGTGACATCAAGCATTGCCTACTATGTCCAGGGTCTGGTGATGCAGGACAAGGGGCCGGTGTTTGCCTCTGCCTTCAGCCCTCTGATGATGATCATAGTAGCCATAATGGGCTCCTTCATCCTTGCTGAGAAGATCTACTTGGGAGGGTGAGACCACTATCTCAACTTGTGTCTTTGAAGGACTGAGACCAAGTAATTTGGAAGGTCTTTGATACTTGTCATCTGCATGCAGAGTGATCGGAGCTGTCCTTATAGTTGTTGGCCTCTACTCCGTTCTCTGGGGCAAGAACAGGGAGAGCAAGGAGATGGAAGCCATGGACATACCAGTAGCAGTGGGTCGAGGAGATCATGGAACAGGATGAAGCTGAGACGGAGAAGGCCAAAGCTAACAACCGGATGATCTCCTCCATCCCCAATAGCAGAGAATTCCATGAAGGCCAAGAAGGAAGAGTCAGAAGCTAGTTTGCTTCTGACACTTGAAAGGAAGACTCGGAGGACCAAAAAAAAAAGAAAGAGGAGATTTATATATATCTCTCTCTCCTCTTTTCGTTTTCTTCTTGTGATTATGTAATTAGAACTTCACGAAGGAATCAGTGAAGACTTTGTTTCCTCAAAATTTCTGCTCACCAAATTATGTTCAGATGCTAAACCATTAAAAACTGAAAAGAAAAACAGATTACATGATTAATGAGCATGCATAAATTCAATTAAATGTTGATATGGAATAAATCCAATGTACATGAGATCTCGAAAGGATCAATACATGTCATCTTAAGTCACAAAGGAGCAACCTTACGTTATACCAAGATATACCGTCGCATTAAAAAGACTAATATGTGTTTTCTTTAGTACTTCCAAGTTAACATTTGTAGCAATACATTTAATATGCATCAATCAATCACTTTGAGCATACATTTCATCTGCTTTCAATTTGATCTCATCCTACATTTATTTTATATTATGTGATTGACCTTTTTCTCTTTAGAGGAAAAGCTGAAGAGTTTCACCATGTTTCACTCTAAACTATGTGCTTTGAGATTCCTACTACTGAGTTGTTTCCAAGTCCTACAAAGATTGGTTACTGATAAATAAACTTGTGACCTTAAGGTTTAACTTAATCGGAAGGAAAAAATAGAAGTTGGCAAGCAATCTCATAATCTTCATAATTGTCCAGCCATGAGAAGCTTTTCTGGGTGATCATCCGAGAAGACACTTGAGAAAGAATAACTACTCAGTCACAACTTGGAGACAAAAGGCATGTTTGTGGGATTAGAGCAATTTGCATAGTGGATAATGACAAGTTTAAGACACCCCTAAGGAACTTCTAATGGCAAGGAATCGGTGAATGTGGAATGGAAATACATAATTAGATGTGGAATAAAGAACGAAAACCGCAGACATCAAATGAGATATGTTTCAGCTCAAGCAGACAACTTTTTTTAACTGAATAAAATTAGATTCTGAGGTCCATTTCCTACATTATGTGGGCAACTTGTGACACAAAGTTCATGGAGGAAGAATATGAGACATCTTCCACTACTAGAATCCAAATACTTTTTCTGCATTCTTAATTCAAAACGTGGTGCTGATTGATGTAGTATCAAAACCTTTCGTATGTTGGGAATCCTGAATTGATTACAACTAGACTTTTGCTGATTAACCATTTTAGCTGCCGATGTCCATGGAGAATCTCATGGTAAATTGGCATCATTTATTTTTTAGCTTAGAGAATAAACGTTCAAGAATCCTGGTATGCAAGAATTCTGGCAGTTGATGTTGGTTTATCCTGTATGAAAGATAAGAAATTTGTAGATTCTATCAAAAGATAAGATCTAATTAACATAAGTAGCACTGAATCATATCCATAAAGTGATGTAGGTTCTATGTTCTTGGCTTTATTTTTTTTGCTCATTTTCTAATGCCCATAACAACAGAAAAGGATCGGTTCTTCCAGAAACATTCTTATATTTCAATATTTAGTACAAAGCTAACACAAAACCATTTGTTGTGATGAAGAGGAACATGAAACTTTGAGTTTGTGAAATAAATTATTAGCAAGGAGGGATTACGTGATGAAGAGTGACTTACAACTCTTGTTCATTCATCTCCAAGGATCGAATCTCTAGTTTGCTCTGTCACTCCAACAGTAACATCAGAGAATAATGATAAGCAGAATTAGTGGAGAATAAGACAATTTATAAGATCATTTTCAGATGCAGAACTCTAAAGTGGCTTATATCTTGAGAAGGAATTATTCCAACTGAGAGCAGTTGGTGAATAAATATTTGAAATGGTGCTTGTCATTCTCACTAAATGGATAAGATCATTCATTCATTAACCCACTAGCTAGATAAAGTTCATATCTGCATGGAAGTCACTGTGGAAATAAGAACTGCATGATTAACTCAACAACAGTTTCCAGCATATCTTTATAAACAAATGCTGTTTAATGAATCCGTACATATGTTCTTATAATCCGATGACAACAATGGCTAATTGATTCTTAGTACTCCTGCCTAATTATGCACTCCTTTTCAGCACATCATCTTGATGTGACTTCAGCAATGGCTTGTGAATGGATCAAGTGATATACTGCTATATTATACAGAAGATAGAACTGTCTAACAAATCAAGATGCAGGGCATGGTTTTAGGCAACTTGTCCAAGAGTTGCAAGTTTTCTCACTTGTGCAATCCCAAGGGAAGCGCCTAGAGAACTAAACTATTGTTTCATTGGACTGAGATCACAACACCTCATGTCATAAGTTCTTTTCAGCATAGTGGAAGAATTGTTTGGTTGCTCTGCATGTTGGACTAGCAATAAGGAGAATTGCAGAGCTTAAAAAGGGGCTAATAAGCTTTTAGACAGTGCAAATGACCAGCCATACAACAGTGTTCTTATCATCCCCATTTGATGATGCCTGAGGTGGACACAAACCATATTATTAAACAAGTGTGAGCTTTATTCTAAAGTAATCCTGATTGTTCCAGGTTTGGGACAGGGAACATGGAAGGCATGTTGTACTATTCAAGGTAGGCAAATCATTCTGAAACAAATCCTAAAAATCTATTAGTCCTAAATCTCAAAAGTAAATACTTTTGAGATGAAAAAAAAGTAAAAGTATGGTTTTTATTTTGGCAGACCTTGCAGCATGAAAAAATGGTGCAAGGTGCAGTGTAAGAAACAGACACAGGGAGGCTTGGGATTCATGGTCTGCAGCCTTCAAGTGTGTCATCATATATGGAGAAAGGAATGCCATGAACTTCTAGTTTAAAGTCTAATTCTACATCTGTGTTGCAGGAGTGGATTAGATTCTACTCATTGCAGGTAGTAGACAGGCTAAAATTGGTGTCATTAATCCCTGGGGAGTCTGCATCAAACCCTTTGGGGAGTCTGCATCAAACATCTTCTTAGAAAAGCACCAAAAACTAAGATATCAAGAAAATTTCCTAATATATTTAGCCGAAGAGATGCACCAAAAACCAACTGGCTTCTTCTTAGAAACATCCTGGAATTCAACAAGCAAAAAAATAAATCACTGCTTTCCGTAGGATGGGTGTGGAAACAGCACAGAACAGTAGAATCCAAAGGCAGTGATCACAATAAAAGTGTTAGTCAAGAACAATAACACTCAAAACTGTCATACAACGTCTATCTTAAATTTTCAGCACCAGGATTCTCGGAGGCTACTACTTTCAAGGTCATAAGATTGATGAGTTGTGAGACACAGAATCATCCTTTTGAAGGGAAACATAGTTATCTGGTGTAACTACGCTCCCCTTTCCACCTTTTTTCTCCTTACCTGACGACATGATCCCCTGCCGTCCAAATGGTGTTGAGACACGGCGGCCAGTTGGCGTTCCACAAGCAATGTTCGCACTCGAGCTTTGGCCCAAGGGCTTCTTCGTTGGAAACTGCCTCATTGGGCTTGGCTTACTCCCAAAAAGAGCTTCCTGCTCTGTTGCAAATTGTTCCTGCAGCTTCTTCCTTTCCTGCAGAAAAATGAAGGCCACAGAGAGCATAAGAACAAGTACTGGTATTGTCTAATAGATTTCAGAACAATTGAGCTGCCTAATTTCTTAATGAAAGCTTCAATTATGAATGTTGCTAGAGTATATGCAGAAAATAGGCAGCTTGTCATAAAAAATGAATGAACATAAGTGTGTCACACAAAATGAAATGTTAGAGTTCTGGAGTGACATAAAGTGAAAAAAACCAAAAAGATAATGAAACCAACCCTGAATCGTCGTTTCTCCTCTTCTCTTTGCTGCCTGAGTTTGACATAATTTTCCAAGCTATCTAGCATTCGCACCTGGAGATCAAAATAACAGATCAGCTATTCAAATAAAACTTTAAGAAACATATTTGATTATGAAGAAATGTTTTTCAGCAACAAAATAATACCTTGTCATACATAAATGGCATTCCCTTTTCGTTCTCCCAGGTTTTTATTTTTGAAGCCAGATTCTCTACCAGAGCTACAGAAGAATAGTTAAAGTGATTGTTAGGAAATAATAGAAACCAAAATATGTGCATCACTTGAAAGAAAATTCTCATATTTGTAATTAAGAGACAGATTAAGCAAAAGTATACGGTTAATTCAAAATTTACAGTAGTGTCATGAGAGAAATCATATCACTTTTGTCTCAAGTACAAGAGATTTTTAAAAAATTAACAAAAACAATCCACATTGGCAAATACATTTTGTTTACGATGAAACTTACATGCCATGGCTAGGTGGCCACTCTTATGTTAAGGAAAGCACATGCAATAAAATCTACATGTGTAAGCTTCGATCATTATGGTATTATGAAAAAAAATAAAAAGTATCCTTTAGCAAAGAATATTTTTTATTTTCTCATATTCTGTTTTATGTTTCTTCTATTGAACTATTATATCACATTTTTTGTAATTTTTAAGTTCTAAAAATATTTATTGGATGATTCCGATCTTGCTGATCAAATCCAAATATCAATCTTGTGCAATATGGCCAAAAACATGTTTCTATGTATGTCCAGTGACAGACACCGGAAAGGTAAAGAATGATACTCACTTTACTGCCTATAATCTCCCAACCCTTGTGACCAACAAAGGGTAGTAAAGATGATGATCATGTAGTTTTCTACATTGGAAAGTATATTATACATTACACCAATTAGAATACAGTAGACTTTTTAAAAGATTCAATTTAAAACTGAGAGCACCCCATATGCCTAAAGATTGCAACTAAGAATTGAACCTACCATTCATGAATGTGAAGGAATGCAATCACTAAATTACTTAAAATTCTAAAAATCTAGGCAACCACTTTCTCCTCCTTATTGGGGATGTTACAAGAAAACAAGAGGTCAAAATAAACAAATAAAAGGTCGGTGTCTAACAAGATAAACATAGAATACATCATAGAAAGAAAATCATACAATACATCATAGAATATAGCTCACATGGTATTTTGTTGACCAGTATCCGGGCTTTTTCTGCACGTTTAAGATTCTTATGCACTCCTCGACCAGCAGCATAGCGATTTTCATCCTGTTCAATATTTCAAAGTAAACAGCAGAATATTTCCAGTAAGTTAGCATTTTATCATGACCAAGATTAATACAAGGACATATAGGAAGAACTGACTGCCCTCAAAAAGGATAAAGCAGTTCAGTGAATCAAAGTTCAGCTGAGAATGGACAGATAAACTTTGCACTATCTCACCATGCCTTTAACACGGGTAAGTCATGGCATTACTGGTAAAATTTGGTCAATTTTATTACCTTCTCATAATCATCGAGCCAATTCTCCTCCTCGGATGCAAATGTCCATTTCTCCACCTTTTCTAAAATGTCTTTTCTGCTTAGAGCTTGCTCTTTAGCCTTCACAGTCTGATTATCCATTCTTGAGAGAAGTTCAGCGAGATCTACTTTCCCTATAAATCAATTATGAAAGAAAAGTAGTTTACGTATATTTATTACCACTGTGATGATGATTGTGACTGACAGCAAAAAAACAAGAAGCTACAATAACACAAGCAAAGATGATATTGAACTGAAACAGATACATGAATTCATAATGAATGATAAATTTGTTATTCTTTAGAGACATAACTATTCTGAAAATAATGTCATGTGGAGGTCAATACCAGATAAATTCCAATATTTAATTTTATAAAAGACAACCAATGCAACAGCTACAACTGTTTAGGCAAACATGCAGAATAACCAAAATCTCCTTATAGTTACTTTGAATTACCAAATTCATCATTATATTTCGTTGGTGCTTGAAAGCAGGGTTAAAAATATAGGTATAGTGCTGATTCCTAAATTCCATCGAACCAATATTTACTCATCACAGAAATGTAGGTATATTTCTAAATATGCCTTATAATAATATTTAAATGTCATCACAGAAACGATGCCTCTGATCAAGGATGTGTTAACAAACCCCCATGAAAATTCCACACTGCCTAATGCCTCTTGCATGAGGCCATCATTTTTATTATTGTCATGGTAAACTGCATATGAGATCTGGTAGGACAGGTACGTATGAGTAGTACACTCATCGGTAGTGATATCCAATACCAAGCTTGAGAAAAATTGAATTTATGCAAATCTAACATCAGTATAAAAATATCGATATGTGTGTACATGTTCGATAAACTTAAACCTAGTCAAGTGTAGTAGTTGATCTTCCACTAATAAAGTGTATTGGTATATGTATAGAGAATGAAAAACATATATGTAAAAGTCAAAATGTAACATTATGGGCAAAGTGCTCCAGAAGGAAGCCATATGATTGTTGAACATTCAAGTACCTTCATTAGGAACAAAAACACAAAAATGTCCATGCCATAAATGTGATATGTTCGAACTTCACTAAAGCTTAATAAATCATGAGTTCAAACAAACCAGAATCTATGAGACCAATAAGTGTTTCTCTTGCTCCTTCACCATCAACATCCATGTGAACACTTCTGTAAATTTTGTCAAGCTCATTTTGCTTCTTTAAAACAAGTTCCTTCATCTTGCTTGCTTTTAGAACATTCAATCTTTCAACTTCATGTTCAGCCTAATGAAAGTAAAATTACATAAGACACAATGATAGAATATCTGAAAAAGTTAATGACCAACAAAAAGATTTTCTCAACGTATTATATATATATATATATATATATATATATATATATCTATATATATAAAGGATCTTGTGTGGACAGAGAAATACAGGAGTGAATTACCTGATCAATTAATTCAAGTGCAAGGCAACCTTTCCCAAGTACTGAATCGACAGATGATGATATCAAGCAGGTTACATGGTCAAATCTTTTTTGTTCATCCATAGGCATATCCATGAGATTCCATAACTCAACAAGTGTACTCCCCAAGTTTTGTAGCTAGAGAGCAAAAGAATTTTCATTTGTCATTAGCAAAAATTATAAAAATATATAATCAGATATCAAACAACCACCAATATAAACTTCATGATACAAATTCAGAAGTGATGGGAGTTTACAAGACCCTAGAAAATGTTCTTATTCAGGTACTAGCAGGTCTCACCAGAAACCTCAAAAAGCTCAAAGCTTTCATGAATTTAAGTATAATTTTTACATTGCAAGCCTTATGAACTACTCAAATTTTATAAGTTTCAACTTCACCTTCTTATCTAACAGTCACAGAGGAAACCATAAATAAGGGCTGGGGATTTTGTAGACAACTAGAAGCAATATTTTGAAAGTGAATGTACATTACAGTAGACATCTTCAGTATATCACATGAAATATACTACAGGAAAGAGGAAACTCTGGCGAGATTAGATATGAGTTTGTTAGTCGTACTAAAATATGTTGGTTCCAAAAAAATATAGAAGATATTTCAGCTATCAAGATTAAGAAAAAAAAACTGATAGCCAACAGACAAAATTTTAGCATGTGACATGCAAAAGTAATATGCTCTTAACCACACCTTTTGTAACCTTTGTAGTTTCTCTTGCTCTAGTGAATGAACAATTCCTGCAAGTCTAGCAAGAGTATCATTACTTATGCTTTCTGTCAGGTTGTTTGAAGAATCACCAAAACTAGGATGGACTCCAGATATCATTTTATAGAAGTCGACTGACAACACCAACGATAGATCTTGAATCAATTTGATGTAAGCATCAACCTTCTGCAAGCGTAGGTTCTGCAAGTTCCAAACAAAATAAGTTACAAAATACGATTTTCCATATTTGGAATAACATTATATTTCGATTACCAATACTAGACCTTATCTTTTTGAAGCTCATGAAGTTGGCACTTCAGCTCTCCCAGTCTTTTAAGAGTTAAGTCCCGTTCGTCTACCTGAGCAGAAGTAGAACTTCCTTGATGGATGCTACCAGCTATTTCTGCACATATCCTAACAATTTGCAATTGAACATCCAGGAATTCCTTGATCCTTTGTTCCTTCTTTTGTCCCAGATCATCCAACAATGGTTTAATCATGGCCAACTGTTCCTTAAGTGTGCCTGTTTTTTTCTCTAACTAGGAGTAGAAACAAGAGAGCATCAGTTGAGAGTGAATAGGAACATAAAGAGACTGTAAAAGTGGCAATATCGTAACTAACCCGAACAAAGGTTTCTCGCTCTCCGAGTATGGAAATTAGATTAGATACTTCAGCTTCACCATCAGCCAGCATCTGGTGTAATTCTGCCTTGTGTTTTCTAGTTTGGTCTACTTTTCTTCTGTACAAGTCAAGACATTCCTGTTCAAGCTGTAGTATTGTCCTGTCCCTTTCGCGATCATTCTCCCCTATTTCATCCCATAAATCCTGAATCAACATAATTGCCATCTTTTACTGCACAGTAAGTATTAGATAGTAGAAAGCATGCAAGTTCATGTTAACACAGTGTCACATCCAATTGATGAAGTCACTATTTATGGATTCTTTTCTCAACAAGATCTCGTGATTAAAATATTGTTATTTTTATCACATTCAGTTTTACAGATAGCTAGACCTACTATATAGCCAAATTAAGCACCAATCGTAAGCAGATGTAGTTTCAAAACCCATACATTTTTATTCTGAGTGTATCAGAAACCTTCAATTTCTTAAACAGACTCAAATGAAAACATAGAACAATGGTGCAGACCAGTAGGACATCAGCTATTTCTTACCAGAATGAGAGGATCACATCACATGTTCAGAAGGAGAAGCACCCTTAACACTTCTTCCCTCACAAAGTATAACTTAATATATATATGAAAATAATTAAGAAATTCGTGTAATAGGCTGTCACATGCAGGAAATGTAACCTTTTTAATGTGACGGCACCATCATTTCCATCATAAATGTCCACTATTGTAACTTCATAGACCCAACTCATAATATAATGCACGAACTTGAAACAAACTAATCTAGGCATCACAAGCTGAAGCCACGACATCTAAAAGAACTATGGACAAAAGGCAATTCTGACACAGAGGGCAAAAACTCGATCAAAGGCAAAAACCGCTTCAAGAAAACAGACAAAACCAAAAAAGAAATGGTTCCAGAGAGGGATAATTCACGCAGCTTTACCCTAGCATGCAGGGAAGCAGACTCTGTGACTCGCCCCGGAAGAAAAAGAAGCGGCCTTTCCACAGTGTCAAGACTCGCCCACAGCCACATGAAAACGCAAAACTGAACCACGCAAAGGGAAGATTTCGAATTTCGTCATCTGTCAGACTTATCTATTAAAAACGCCAACGATCAAGCAACCCCCAAACCACGGACGCAAAGAACGACCCTCGCAAAATCTAAAAGAGCGCAAGCCGTTGCAAGCACCGCAACAAGAGCAAGAAGCAAGACGAAGTACGCAAACGAAGAACCCAAGAAAACGTCGAGATAAAACGGCAATTGACAAGAAAGGAGCAAAAACGAGCAGACAAAAGCAGAGAATTTTGGTGGGGAAGGGGGACCTGCAGTTCTTGGAGCAAAGATCCGCAGGTGGTGGCCTCCGTGCGAGCCGGGGAAGGCAGCGGGAGACGAGACATCTCTCCTTGGAATGTCGAAGAGAGCAGAGCAGAAGAGAGGGGGGGGGGGAGGGGGGGGAGGGGACGAATGCTTATGGGGGAGGGAGTAAAGGCGAGAGGAAGAGGACAAAATTTGAAACTGTGAGGGCGCCAAAACCGAAGAGGATTTAGGGGAAGGTAACGCGTCCTTCGCCTCCACCCGACCCATTTATAGATCCTGGGTAAATGAGGAAGACTCGGTGTCTTCGCCGAGACAGGAGACACCGTTATCGTTTCAAAGCGTGGTGCGTCCAGTTCCTATGCGAGAGAGACCTGCGTCGGCACCTTCAGACACACTGCAGGGAATCGGACGGCCTCAGATGGCCGAACCACGTGGGCTCCGCCAGAACGGACGGTCTCTGTCGAGTACAAACTTCTGGAATTGAATTAGAGATCTCTTAAATTTGATGGTGGCCACTTTGTGTATGTCTGTCTGTGTTGAGATAGATTTATCTATCCCATTCAAATAGGAGTGTTGATAGGAAAGCCTCATGTGGGGTTGTTCTTCAAGGCTATCTGTCTCGTATAAGAATCTTACTATTATTTATTTTCAATATGATTGTATTAAATATAAAATAATTATTTGCTCGTTAAAATAGTTGATTAAAGTCATTGATCCTCGTAGTCCAGATAAGGCTTTAGTAAAATATCCTATGAGATTATATATTTATTGTTTTTTATTTTTAAAAAATATTATATATATATATATATATATATTTATATGATTATATATTTTATTTATTATATATCTAGGTCATACAAAATATTTGGCAAGATTACATACATTCATTTATTTATTTAATTTATGTACTTTTTAATTTAAATAAAAAATATATTTTATCTTTAAATAAATATTAAAATATTAAAAAAATAAATTTATCACATAATATTCAATAAACTTTTAAAATATAATATTTTTAAACAATACTTGCATCAATAATATATTTAAAATATAATCATCATCTATTGTTTATTAAATACTTTAATATATTTCATAGTTATACATCCATTCAAATTTTTGAAGAAACACTTAATTAAAAGCAAAAAAAATAAAGCTTTTCTCCTCAAGTTTACTTCTTACGAGACGACATCCGCAGCAGGTGGACCATGCGGCTATCAACCAATCGAAAGCAGGTACTACAATCGGGTACGTCTCAATACAGGTAGCTTAACAAAAGCAGCCTTTTGTCGATAACTCCTGCCTTAATCCTATCCCAAAAGGTGGGCTAGGTGGCAATCCACTAATCACAAGGCAGGTAGAGAAAGAGGTAAGCTCAAACCAAGTAGCAATAATAGCCAAAAAATCCCTTAAAACACTAACCGGAGCTTTATTCCTTCCCAGTTAGCCACTTACCCGCTTTAGTGATGTCTTTACAGATATCCACATGGTCACCACTGTCCAATTAATAGGAAGGTATTAAGGTCAGGTAGTTGTCACAAGCGAAGGATATGCCCATAAAAAAGCAATTTGGTCCATCACGAGACCCAGCCAAATGTGGAGCCCAAACCAAGTCTCAAACGCCACGTCTCACGACAAGTCAACTCTTCCTGGCACTGAAGTCAAAAGCCACAGGCACAGAAATCCATCGGCTTCCCATCTCTCCTCCTCGTTCGTTCTCTCTCTCGAACGCGACGGGGTGTGCATCTGCTTCTGTAACACCGGAGGGTTTTATCCACGCAATTAGGCGGACCGGTGGAGCATGGAATCCTGCGACGCTGCTCTCCCGTACACGCTGATCGGGCTCGTCCTCCGGCAGCCGTCGCCGCCCCATCGCGGCGCGGCCTCCTGCCCCAGCCGCTTTCTTCGGGACTACGCCTCCAGGGCCACCAACACCCTCCTCTGGATATGCCTCATCTCCGTCACCTCCCTCCTCTGCCGCAGGCTCGCTAGGCTGGTGCGGCTATGGGTCCAGGGCAGCCGGATCCCCGGTCCGCCCTCCAACCCCTTCCTCGGCCGTTCCAAGCTGATCCCCGGGTGTGGTTCCCTGGGGAGTCTCACCGGTGGGCGCCGATGCTTTGTCGAATCTTGTTTTTGTTCTTTCGAGATGCTTTTGTCTTGCAGCTGAAATTTTGGATCCTATGGCGGTCTTGATTTATTGGAAAGATTTTGATTTGTCATTCAGCTTGTAATGATTGTTTTTTGCTAATTTTCTTATAGATTATTATTTTTTGGTTAGTTTTACTATCTTGGATTTATTAACTATAAGTTGTTATTATCATGTTTTTCTTTAGGGAATTTGGTTACCCTTTTATTCATGCTTAATAAAAAGATTACATTTTGCAGACAACTGATTGAATTTGGTTGTGTAGTGATTAGAACTACTTATGTTTCTCATGCCATGAAACCTAAATGTGATAAGGTGATATAGCAACCTTTTTCCTTTTATTTTTGGTTGGGTATCTCTGTGTCTGTGAGTCAATCCTGATCATATAATGTTGCTCTTTCGGTATATAATAAAAGGGCCAGAATATTCTGAAAGGGAGATAGATAAATTGGAATGACTTGAGATGATGCTAAATTATAGACTCAAAACTCTATTTAAGAGGAACTCTATTGATATCGAACTATATCTTCAATCGTGATTATATTGCATCAGTCTCACTGTGAGCTTAAAATTCAACGAGCATGGCTGCACGATCTTAGTTGATTTCCAAGCTTGATTTGTCTATTTTAATTTCTGTGTTTTTCTTCTGAGTTATGACATCATCCCATCGTTCTCAATATCAATTTTTCTGAGCTCAACAAAAGCAACAACATGATTAGGATCAGTGTTTGACTTATGAGCAGTTTAGTTTATGTGTAGTTTCTTTGATGATAACCTTTTAATTTCGTAATCACAAAGATAAAAAATGGAAACATTTTTTCTATATGAAGGCAATAATTGTTTGATATAATGGTTTCTTTTTCTTTTCATGGTTTGTGATATTGACTGTCAAGATATCCCTTGGGGATTTGAAGGCCAGCTGAACTCTCTGATCCAACTGGAAGTCCCATGATTTGATTCGATTGATCTTAGTGGATTCTGATCATAATTCCTACAACCAATCCTAATCTTCTGCAGTTTTTACTATTATCTGGAAATAAATTAAATTAAACAACCTGACTAACTTAAGTACCAAGTCTAGTTTTGGGAACCCATCTAATCATTGTTTAAATAACTTGGATAAATGCGGTTATGAGAGTACAACTACTTGAATTAATTTAAGTAATTTTCTTATTTATATGCATGTCTGAGCTTGCTGTGTTGCAGGCTATCTTGCTGAGTTGCATGAGAAATATGGACCAATTGTCAGA